TCTGCCTGTCTGTTTCTCCCACTTTGGGGGCAGCGGCTTGCTTGGTGATCTTGCTTCTCTGACAGATCCAAGAGGAACTGTTGATTTTTCAATTTGTTCAGCCTTTTACTTATTAGGGTGCATTGGCAGCTTCCCCGGGCCTAACCACTAGCCTGGGGTTTTATAACATCATCATGATCGTTTATCCCATTCTTTCTGGCCTACTTTCTGCTCAGACCCACAGAGCAATCATAGTGCCAGGCATGGTATTCAGTTCCCACCTGAGAAAGCAGTGTAGACTCATTTTGAATTGTCTCGAAGCAGAGGCTGTGTCTGTCTGCTATGGACACAGAGCTTATTCAAATAATGCTTTTAGGAAAATTGAATAAGGGGAAGGAAGGATACTGCTAAACATTGAAAAGTGTCTGTAAAACCTGTGATAAAGGTGCTGAAGTGTGGTTCTTCTGGCAGGGGAGGGTAGGTGAGGAAGGACTTAGTTTTCTTTTTTTCTTTCTTTTCTTTTTCTTTTTTTGAGACAGGGCTTCTCTGTGTAGCCCTGGCTGTCTTGAAACTTGCTCTGTAGACCAGGCTGGCCTCGAACTCACTGAGATCCACCTGTCTCTGCCTCCTGAGTGCTGGGATTAAAGGCATATGCCAGTACTGCCTGGCAGGACTCCGTTTTCTTTAAGGGGCATTTCACTAGGAGTTTGACCATGCTCTAGTGAGTATATGGGCAATGGAAATTGGACCTGTGTAATTTCTTTTTTTTGAGGGAAGGTATGAAGTGGGAGGGTGGACCTGGGAGAAATAGGAAGTGAGAGGTCAGGGTGCACTGTACGAAATCCCCAAATATTATGTTGGGAAAAAGAGAATGGAGTGAGAGATGTGACCTCAGCATGTCCCGTGGTTTCTCTGGGGTGCAAATGATATCAGGTTTTACTGTTGAAAAAGGGGCAAGATGTGGGTTAAAATGAATTTTCTTTGTTCTAGAATAATCTTTACGTATGCTGTGAAGATATGAAGGTGCCTTCTGATTGGCTTAATAAAGGACTAAATGTCCAGAGGCTAGGCAAGTAGAGGTTAGGTGGAACTTGCAGACAAAAAGGGAGCGAGGGAAGAAGAGAAGGTGGGGTTGCCGTACAGATGCAGAGGAAGCCGGAGATGAACATGCTGGGCTGAACCAAGGTACTGCCCCGTGGTAGAGCATAGATAGAAATATGGGTTAGTTTATGATAGAAGAGCTAGTAAGAAACAAGCCTAGGTTACTGGCTGAGCATTTAAAATTACTAATAAGTCTCTGTGTGGTTATTTGGGGAGCCAGCTGGCAGGGCAGAGCCGACTGGCAGTCCCAACAACAACAACAACAACAACAACAACAACAAAACCTGTCTACATTTCTTGTGTAGGGATTTTTAAAGGATCAAAGGCAAAGCTGAGGCTCTTAGGAGATTGGTTGGTCCTTTGGGCTATCTTGGGCTGAGCCAGTGGAGGGTCTGCACGTCTCTTTGGCCCAGCCAGGGAGATGACCATATGCTGTTTGTGCTCCGCCCATCAGTTAGGGCTAGCTGAAGCCCTGCTTTTTCTGTGTTGGATTCTGCCTTTGTTATATGTTGACCTTAATAGCTGACCACTAGGGCTGGAGAGATGGCTCAGTGGTTAAGAGCACTGCCTGCTCTTCCAGAGGTCCTGAGTTCAATTCCCAGCAACCACATGGTGGCATCTGTAAGGGGGTCTGGTGCCTTCTTCTGGCCTGCAGGCATACACACAGACAGAATATTGTATACATAATAAATAAATAAATATTTTAAGAAAAAAAAATAGCTGACCACTAGCCACTTGGCTGGCATTGCTGTTCTCTGGCTCTGCAGGTGTCTCAAATGCTAATGACTCCCAAGCTCTCTTTGCTATAATAGTTGCATGATCAACTTTTAGCTTGACTCTGGCAACGAGTTCACTATCACAGCCACTAAGATGTAGCTGTCGTCTTTCTGGGTTACCTCACAGTTAGCACCTTGTCTATGGCATGGTCTACTACATGGGAGCTTCTAAGTTAGAAGCCCTGCTTGCTAGAAATAAGGTTGTGTGTGCCTCACGGACTCTGGGGTCTCGTGAACGCTAACTGGCCAGCTCACTAACACTGGCTTTGTTTTTCAGGGCTTCTCTGTCTTTTATTAGGTCCACTTGACTATCTTCTCCCTAGTGTTCTTAGCCTTGTGGTTTTAACCCTCACGTCCGTTTTCACTGTACCATATGTGAAACTAGAGATCTTACTTTGGGCACTTTCCCCATATTACCTACAGAAAGTGAGCTCCTGCCTCAAAAGCTCGCCTGTTTTCGCTTTTTGTGGTGATCTCCAGTCTCTTGGCTCCCTTCTCCCGCTTCCCTTTAGCCAGCCCCTGCCTGTGGTTTCATGTCGTTATCACTTAGATGAAGCCTCATGGTGCATTTTGCTTTTGCCGCCCTCTTTCTAGCATCCTTAATTCCTCTGTTCTCTCGTGAGCGTGCTCCACCCTTTCTGCAACCTCCACCTTGTATCTTCTTCCCTAAGATGCTTTCTCTCCCAAACCTGAGCTGCTCAGAGATCACAGAGGCAGTCTTGCAGCAAGTACACGCGGTGGCCCTGATGTAGGTCAAGGACGTGGTCAGCTCTGCTTGGCGATTCTTTCCGCGCGTCGGAGCTTTTCTCACCCCTCAGGCTCCTACCTGCAGGGCAGCTACTTCACTCTCTGCAGACGACATTTCCTAATATCTTCTAGGAACAAGATGGAACAAGATAGAGAGCAATTGCTTCACGAACGAATGTACCTGCATCAGCACCAGCCTGTGTGTCTACCTCTCTTCCTGATGCTCTGATACTAAGGGTGATCTGCCAGCTGAGTAAATTCTCCCTTTCTCCCTCTTCAGTCTCCGCCCTTATCTTTTACTGTCGGAGTTCTCTTCTTTCCTTTTTTTGTATTTTTACCCATTTCATCCCAGGTAGACTCTTCTACACAGGATAGAATCACCTTTACATCTTTTTTATTATAAAGAAACAGCAAAAGTCATATCTGCTGGTGGCTCAGTGCCCATTCTGGACATTTCTCTTCCTTTTTACTGTCCTCTCTTTCCTTTCTCCACACATTAAGTGTAGTAAAAGGGCCATCAGCACTGCCTCACTCTGGCTTTTTAATCCTCAATAATCTATTTTCTGCTTCTATCTTGAAAAGACTTTTTCTTTCTTTTCTCCTCTCTCTTCTCTCTCTCTCTCTCTCTCTCTCTCTCTCTCTCTCTCTCTCTCTCTTTCTTTTTTTTTAGATAGGGTCTCATTATATGTTCTTGAATGGCTAGGAATTCGGTATGTTCTTGTCGACCAGGCTGGCCTTAAACTAACAGAGATTCGCCTGTCTCTGACTCCTGAGTGCTGGGATTAAAGATGTGCACCATCATGCTTAGCTCTATCTGGAAAATTTTACTAATGAATTCCCTGTTAAGTTGAACAGACATTTCAGTTGACACTTACAGAACAGTTGGCTTTTTTTTTTTTTTTTTTGGATGACTCCATTCCTGAAAATCTTCTCCTAATTGCTCTGGTATTATCTCCTGGTTAATCCAATGTCTTATTTATTATTTTTACCTTTGTGTGTGTGTTTCTTGTTTCCTATGCTTTGTTTATTTTTACATGTGTGTATGTGTGCATTTGTGTCACTACACACGAGGAAGGCATACGACAATCTGTGGGAGTCATTGTTCTCCTTCTACTGTGTGGGATCTAAGGATCAAGTTCAGGCCATCAGGCTTGGTGGCAGTGCCCTCACCTGCTGAGCTATCTTGCTAGCCCTGTGTAGTCTGTAGGTACTGTTTTCTCCTAGGGTCTTCCTCCCAGTGTCTTCTTTGTCTCATTCTACACCTTGTTCTGGAGCAGTTGCATCCCTTCTCATGACTTCATCCATCACTTACGTGTTATTTGTGAGATCTCTGTATTCAGTCCACTGTCCCTTGGACTCCGGGCTGTTCTTCATAGTTAACATCCTGAGCTGCATGTTCCAAAGTACACAAATGCAACATTTTCTTTAAAAGTATTTTTATTTTTTAAATTTTCATTTTTCTTTATCATTGACAATTTTATATACGTACACAATGAAATATGATTACACCAATCCCCCCATTTTTCTCTCTAAGTCCCCCAACATGACCCCCTCCATATGTTCATGAGTATGGGGCCATCCCCTGGAGTGTGGGAAACCCACCAGAGGCTTCTCCCTCTAGGAAGAATGAGTTTCCCTCCCCCAATTCCACCAACTGCCAATAGCTGCTCAGTAAGGGTTGAGGCCTAGGCGCAACCCCCCCCCACCTGTGCTGAAATGACTTGATCCTATGCAGCTAACCACAGCTGCTATGGACTCCCGAGTGCCACAGCCACATCGCACCCAGAGAGGAGCATTTCCCAGCCCTTCTCCACATCCCCCTCTTCTGTGATGTTCCCTGAGCCTTGACTCGGGTTGACAGGGGTTGAGAGATGTGTTCTATTTGGGGCTGAGCTCTCAGTGTCCTCTCTCAGAACTTAGACTAGATATGCGTCTCTCCACTGAGTGCTACTCACTGGAAAACAACAACAACAACAACAACAACAACAACAACAACAACAACCCTCTCCCCACAAAAGCTTCCCTGAGCAAGGCTGGCAGCAGCTCAGGTGTGTGGAGGGAGCGGGAGGAGGGGAGAGAGTAGGAACTGGGATTGGTATGTAAACTTTCAATTAAATAATAATAATGAAAAACACACGTCTCAGAAATATTTGTTAAAATTCCTAAATTGAAACAAATCAAATGTGAAATATGAGAGCGAGAGCGAGAGCGAGAGCGAGAGAGAGAGAGAGAGAGAGAGAGAGAGAGAGAGAGAAAGAGAGGTCAACCATGGCTATTTGGCAAAAATCCCAAAAAGAGGCACTATCCTAGGGCCTATGACCTCTGTAACTATTGATTTCTGACAAGGGTTACAGTGAAAGTTCTTCCTGTAGACCAAGTTTCAAATTCAACTATGCAGTGGTAACAGCAGGGCTTTCGTGGTGCAGGCTTTAATCCCAGCACTCAGAAGGCAGAGGTAGGTGGATCTTTGTGAGTTTGAGGCCAGTCTGGTCTACAAAGCGAGTTTCAGAGCAGCCAGGGCAAACCCCCGTCTTGAAAAACAAACAAACAAAAAGTGATTAGTTATCCTATAATAGTAATTCTCCTACTATTGCAGCAGGGGATGCATCTTGCTTGGAGGTTGGTGTGCATGCAGCATGCAGTCTGGCCCTGTGGAAAAACCCTGATGTCTTTTCATGCCAGTAGCCCGCACAGCACCTTCTGGAACCGTGAAAGCTGGTCAGCAGGAAGTAAATCCATTCTCTCTCCTTCTAGCGATGCCATCCTCGGACTTCCCTTCATCATCCGTGCTTTCCATGAGGTCCGTTATCAAAGCTCATACTCCACTGGTAAGAAAACCTAGGCACCGTGCCTAATTCTTTAACGTTCTGGGTATACTTCCAATTAGTTACCCTGTATTCCAGTTCCTAAGGTGCGTATCCCCTCCTCCCCCCATCTGCATTGCTTCTCTTCTGGGTGTGGGCTTTTCTGGCTGCCTCTTTTCAAAAGAAGTTCCTTTTGAAAAGGTTTCTGAAACCCTGGGACCTGTCTCCCTGCCCAGGGCTGAGCCTGCTCAGGGTTCGTGGTTCCCTCCTGGGCACCACACACCCAGCCAAAGAGCAGTGTTCAAGGCTCCCGAGAAACCACCCATGGAAAGCTTTTGACTAAAGAAAAGAAAAATCTGTTGCTTGACTTTTTCAGAGATCAAAGAGGCCAGCAGAACTGCTGAATGAAGCAGAGTCTTGGGTCCTTTGCTGTTGAAACCCAATTCAAAGGCTTAGGCTCCTTAAGACCCCTGCAGGGTGATCTTACTGTTGACCCTGAAGTAGAGCCAAGTGGGGTGCCACTGTACCAGTCCACACCTTCACATTCTCCCGCCCCCCTTTTATCTTAGTGGGAGAGACTGCTTGAAATTTAGGTTCGCAAATATAATTTCTTTATCATGTTCCTTCTTAAATCTTAGTCACCTATTGTCCTGGTCTCCTGTCATCTCTCTGTGTGGTCTCCCCCACATTTAATCAGGGAAAGAGTACACTCCCAGTGCAAACTCGAGAGCTCTGACATATTTTCTTTGATTCCATCGGGCAAAGCTCCGGTCCTTCTTCCTGGGCCTCCACAATAACCCTTCTAGCGTGTCACCCCCGGACCCCAATCCTCAATACTGCACCAGCTTCTTTTGCTTCCCAGGGACCACTGTTCTTCGCCTGGGTGTTTTGTTGTGGCAGCGTAAGTTCCACAAGAACTTTTTATCATGATGCTCTCGAGGTGTCTTGTCCTATGAACTTTATTAAAACGTGCCCAATGAACAAGTCAAACTTCCATGACAGCATCCTTTCTCATCAGCTGCATCAACATCTGTCTGGTTATCTGGTTAGAAATCCTCAAACTCTCCTATTCTTTATTTCCCATATCCCAAACCAAGAGTCTTTGTTTTTTTCTCCTCCTTCATAAATGGCGTGGAACCCCTTCTCTGTTGTCTCTGTGGTATCAGTACCACACTGCATTTATCCAGGCTCTGATTCTCTCTTTTTTTCCTCCCACCCCACATGGACATCCACCAAAGAAAAAAGAAGAGAAAATTGGGCTTAGGTTGGCAATGTGGTTAGAGTAGCTGCAAGACTGGGTCCCTGCCTTGGCCCCGAGGAATAAGTGGCTATGGTAGAATTTCAGGCAGCGTGGAAAGCGAGCAGATACTACCCTTGCTTTTGTGAGTGTTCATTTTGTCCGAGGCATGGGTCAAAGCACTGTGTGTGTTATTTCATTTGATCCTGCAATCCTGTACACTAGCATCCTCATAATTTAAAGGAGGAAACCAAGAAACGAAGTGGTTAAGAAATAGTTTTTCTGAGATCACACATGCATTTTATTAGCGGTTGAGCTGGCCCTGAAGCCTGCCTAGCCACTTTTGAGCAGCAGACCTAACTTGAGTCCTCAAATCCACCCCATAGGCAGTTGCCAGGCTAGTAAATCTGGCCTGAGGGTATGCTTCAGCCATTAGGGCACAGTGAATGCTCAGGCAATGTTGCCAACCTAGTAATGGGATTTGTGTTCATTGCTCCATATTCTCTGTTGCTTTTGCAGCTCTGCCCCAACTCCCTACCTTGTGCACGACATTTGCATTAGATATTGGAAAGGCAAAGACAGGGGGAATGTTCAGAGAAAAGTAACAAAAATGATTTGGGAGAGAAAGGGGTAGACATACCTGGGAAGATAAAAAGAGACAGGTTTACCTGATTGGGCTGGGTGATCACTAAGAAAGGAAGCGAACACCCAAGAGGTCAAATAATAGGCTAGATCTATCTGTTGTTAGGACCTTACAGCTACAGCGTCAATAGTTCTCTCTGTGTGTTCTTAAGTTGAAATCCAGCAAGGGTTTATTGAACGTAGGCAGCTTTGCTTTTAGATTCAGCGCAAAGGCTCCCTCTTAAGTGGATCAGTTGTACGGCAGAAACCTGAAGGCACCTTGCTGGTGCCCTCATCTGAACGGGTGTGCTTTGGCAGCAGTGTTGCAGGCCATCAGGTGAGCGGGACGAGACGGCAAGATGTGACTTTCATGCCTGAACGAGCTCTGAAAACCAAACTGTCCTCATTTTATAGATGTGCGACCTAAGGCTTTGAGCACTCACGGGAGCTGTGTGGAGTCGAATGGTGGAGTCAGAGACAGGGAGGCAGGCAGGTGCCCTGACTTGAAAGAGTTTGAAAGAGCCAGGATCAGCCCAAGGATGTATCGAGGGACCCAGGATCAACCCAAGGATGCATCAAGGGACCCCTTTGATCCGCTTAACCTTTGAGATAAGTCAGACAAAGGTCCTTCCCTCACGGCGCTTACGTTCTCACAAGGAGGACTGTTGATGAAATCTATTGTAAATAGACTGTCTTCCTCCTGGATCTATACCCAACAAGCCTAAAGTCAACTTCCAACCAGACTCTCTGATTCCTGCCCATGAATCCCTAAGGAACGCCCGTGTAGCCCTGACATTTCCTCTGTCTCCTCTTCTTCGATATTTCTTTTTTTCTATTTGTAGTGCTTTAGAACTACTCCTGCAAATTCTTTGACATTTCTTACGTTGAGAGACCTCTTACACCCCTTTCCCTTGAGTCTGGGTAGGACGTCACCACTCAGAATCAAAGTCCTTCCGCTGCCATGAGTAGGCCTGCAGCAGAACGAATGGCCGTGACTTCTGAGGCCAGGTTAAAATAGGCCACAAAGGTTTTGCTGGTTTTTCTTGGGCCGTTGGGAGTCTTCCATTTCTAAGTGAATATACACATAAATATCAACAGTGTATAGATGTGTATATACACTTACGCACACATGTGTGTCATGATGAATATACAAGTAAAATATATACACATTGTTAGGGTTCAAGAAAAAAACCCCTAGGGCTGGAGAGATGGCTCAGAGGTTAAGAGCATTGCCTGCTCTTCCAAAGGTCCTGAGTTCAATTCCCAGCAACCACATGGTGGCATCTGTAAGGGGGTCTGGTGCCTTCTTCTGGCCTGCAGGCATACACACAGACAGAATATTGTATACATAATAAATAAATAAATATTTAAAAAAAGAAAAAGCCCCTAAAGAAGGCCAACAACCACATATGCAATAACAAGAGCATTTATTGATTCCAACGCTGGGGTGGCAAAAGAGTGACCCCTAAAGAAGGTCACAAGCTCCTTCTAAGCAGAGTTAGGGAATTTCAGAGAGGAGGAATTAATCTGGAGTTGATTGGTGGAAGGTCCTAGTGGTTAGGAATCTTCCAGCAGCAGGGTAGGGAAAACTATCTTTAGCCTACAGAAGTCTGGGGGGCATCTGCTGAGCTAGCAGAAGGGCTTGTGGGGGTGCTTGCTGATAATGGTCACCCAGAAGTTATGGTTTTCATGAGACCTGCTTGCTCAGCTCTGTCCATTGTAGTGAAGTGAAACTAAGGTCTGGGCTCTGTCAGGGCTGTGGTCTGTTGCCCTGCACCCCAACCTTTTCATACATGTATATGTATATATATATGTAAATTGAGAGAAAGAGGGAGGGGGAGAGAGGGAGAGACTGTGAGGTGCTCCAGTGTTGCCTTCCTAGCCCAGGACCAGAATTATAGCAGAACAACCCTTCAGGATGACGTAGACTCCACCACCATCTCACTGTGATCCTATGAAGGACCGAAGGAAAACGGACAGACTCATGGGAAAATAAGTGGTTGTTGTTTTTGCAGGTCACTGTTTGGGGGTAGTTTACTATGTGGATCACTGGAAGACTATCGTCTGAAGTGCTGGTCCACACCCTTTCTTTCCTCGAATCTCTAGTACTGTCTGCTTACTTCTGCTGGTTGATGGTCATTGCCATAATGCATGGAGAAAACAGAAGCAACCAATCAGATCCCTTCGTCTTTCCCCTATACCCGGCTTCTAGGTGGTCCTCCTGCGGCAGCCAGTGAGGGAGGAAGATATTCCTACCCCACAGGTCCTTCTTTTTGGGCAGTAATCTTTATCTTATTTGACTGGCTGGTCCTGCCCTGAACTTTGAACCTTGAGTTGTGACATGGAGACAGAGAAGGCTTAGCGTCGAGGATCCAACATCTATGCTAGTGCATCAGTGGGGGAGGGATCATCTGTGGCAGCATCCTCGCCCTAAGTTCCTGTGTCATCACGATAGCAGCTCAGAGTAGCCTTGAACTCAAGTTTTGGCTCATCTCCCAGCCCCCACGTGAACTTATTAACACTTGGTGTTTAAGATGTATTCCTCGGTTTGGGCGATGACTCAGTCAGTAAAGTGCTTGCCGACAAGCGTGAGGACTTGAATTAAGATCCTCAGCATCTATATTCAAAAGCAGAGTCAAGAAGGTGGAGCACACTTGTAATATTAGTGTTGGGGAGGCAGGCTGTAGACTCCCTGGGGACTTGCTGGCAGGTCAGTCTAAGTAAACGGTGAGCACCATGTTCAGTTAGAGAGCCTGTCTTGAACAATAAGGTAGAGAGTGATGGAAGAAGTCCTTGTCATCCTCTACTATCCACATGCACATATGTGCACTTGTGCCAGCACACATGTGCATATACATGTGTACATGCACAAATAGACACGATGCATTCTTTACCTATTTAATGTAGCTACAGTTTTATTGTTTTTAAACCATGAAGACTCATATGTTTAGCTCTACCAGTCTTGGGCACATACCAAAAGAACTCTGTAGCCTATGACAGCGATGCCTGCCCAGCCGTGTTCATTGCTGTGCTACTCACAATAGCTAGGAAATGGAACCAATCTTGACGTCTGTCAGCTGATGGATGGAGAATGAAAACACAATTCCTGTACACAATGGTTCCTATACACAATGGTGCCTATACACAATGGTTCCTATACACAATGGTTCCTATACACAGTGGTTCCTATACAGAGTGGTTCCTATACACAGTGGTTCCTATACACAATGGTTCCTATACACAGTGGTTCCTATATACAGTGATTCCTATATACAATGGTTTCTATACACAATGGTTCCTATACACAATGGTTCCTATGCACAATGGTTCCTATGCACAGTGGTTCCTATACACAATGGTTCCTATACACCATGGACTCCTGTTCTGCACTTGAGTGAGAATTTCAGGAATTGAGTAGAGCTGGAAACTATCATACTGAGTGAGGGTGACCTGGACTTAGAAAGACAGAGGCTGTAAGTTCTCAATCATACGTCATTCTCAGCTTCAAACTTCTGGATTTCTGTATTTAAACTGGAGTGTCTGTGGAGGCCAGGAAACAACAAAGGAGGAGCAGTTAGGAGGCCTTAAAGTTAAGTGTCTCAGTCAGAGTTTCTATTGCTGTGAAGAGACACCATGACCACAACAATTCTTACAAAGGAAAACATTTAATTGATGGGGGCGGCTTACAGTTTCAGAGGTTCGGTTCATTGCCATCACGGCAGGGAGCGTGGTACTGGCTACACCTTGATCAGAAGCCAACAGGAAGGTACTGGCTACATCTTGTTCAGAAGCCAACAGGAAGTGAACTGTGAGGCTGAGAGAAGTTTAAACAAAAGGGACTTCTAAGTCTGCCCCCCACAGTGACACACATCCTTCAAGAGGCCACACCTCCCAATAGGGCCACTCCTTATGAGCTTATGAGGGCCAGTTATATTCAAACCGCAGTAAGGGAGTTAATAAAGCATGTGTGATATGAAAATGGGGGAGAAACACTAGGGGAGGAAAGGGTTAAAAGGGGGTGGAGTGGATGGAATGGGGGTGAGGTGTGAGCGGGTTACCCAAAAAAAGCACACAGAAAGCTACTACTTTATAAGCTAACTAGAAATATAATTTTTTGAAACAGGCTGGCCTACTAGACTGGCCTTGAACTCATGAATATCTTCCTATCTCTGTCTCCCAAATGCTGGGATTAAAGGCTTGTGATACCATGTCTGGCCTGCGACAGCATATAATTTTTAAGAAAAGAGTTTGAATGAAGGTATTCTGCATGGATGAGTAATGTGCTCCTCCCAGAAGCCACGGGTTTTAAAATGAAAACCCCAGAGTCCAAGGTATGGGGTGGTACTTCCCTATGAGCCCAATCAAACTCTCAAAACAATACAGGCTATGCCTTTGCTCTTGGTTGCATGCTGGAATTTTATGGTAAGACATTTAACATTTTGCGTACAGGACACAGAGTAATCAAGCTGAACCTGAGATGGAAGCTACAGCAACCTACACCCTCTTTCACGGTGTATGGTGACAGTTACAGGCAACAATACTGCGCAAAGCCTGCTTCAGATGACTCCGATGGTGCTCCGTCCATTTATACAGAATCATAGAGGAGATAACAGGATCTTATCTAACCTCATTCCTACGAAGAAGCTGTTCTGATTTCTAGTGCACAAATGGTGAGATTGAAGACAAATACTGTTAACTACCCCAGGTCACAGAGAGGTAAAAGGCAGTGATGGCTGGCGCCCTGGGCTATCTCGTTCTTCCCACTCTGTCCAGACCCTCAGACACCATAGTGCTGTACGGTAAAAGGCTGTGAAGAAGGAAAGACTGGAATAAAATGGCGGTGTCGTAGGATGTGTGCATTCTTTGGAGCAAGGCTGCGCTTTTACACAAACGTTCCTGACGATACGGGGTACAGAAGCATCGCTAACAATGTGTGCTGGGTTTAAGAAGCACCGTTAATAGAGTGTTTTCCAAAGATTTGCATGAAACATCAGCTGGGTTTTGATGCTCGCCGCTTGCTTAAAATGTTTATTCATGTTGAACAATGTTTATTTATTGAAAGTACCATCTATTTAAATCAAATTATCTCCATAGCTGAATATTTATATGAACGCTTTATTGAATATTCCTAAACATTTGCCTAAACCACAAACAATTTATTCACAGTTATAAATGTTCCTTCTTTAGAGTTAAAAAAAAAATTGCTCAGAAGGCGCTCAGAAGCAAATGGACGTTTCTGCAGTTTGCGAACATCTGCGACTCTTTCTGCACGCTAGCCATCAGGTTCCTGCCCTGGAAAATGGCTAGATAGTCTAATTATTTATGTTCAATAAAATATTTAACATCCACATAGCATCTCTTTTACTGTGTCATATAACAGCCGCAGCTCTTGGCTTTGGGACAGGCCAATAGATGGATTTTGAGGTTTCCCAAGCACCTCATGTTATTCAGGCATTTAATTAGCTGAACCTCCATTCGTCTCACGGTACACTACAGCGCCACGAACATTAGGCCTCAAATAACCCTGGGCTCAACAGATGCCAGTATGAGGCGTGAAAAAAAAAAGGCAATAACCAAAGTGATGGAGAGTCTCACAGTTTTATTCGCCGCGCTGATGGCTCCAAGCACCCGCACTTGGAAAGTTCACTGATATCAATAAAAGATCATTGATTCCTGATCAATGGATACCACCTAGCACTCGACTGGAGATCTGGAGGTCTCGTCATGGACCCTTGATGCTCTCATCTGTAGGACTGGGTACCAGGGAGGGTGAGTACCTGGGTCGTGTTCCCGCCAGTCCCCCTTCATCCTCCCAGCTATGGTTCTGTGACTCTGAAATCACTGAGTGCAAAGGCCGAGAAGGACTTCCATGTTCTTCCTCTTCCTGCTTCTGCCAGTTATTGCTATTATCAGCATCAATGCTGTTTGCGGTGCCGGGAATTGAACTAATGTCATCATATCCTAGGTAAGTGAATGGCCTTTGAGCCACATTTCCCTCCCCAACTGCTTGTTTGTGTTGTCTCAGTGAACACTGTTCTTCCATTCTTCTTCTTTTTCTACTTTTTCTCCTCCTCCTCTTCTTCATCATCTTTGAGACAGCATTTCGCTATTCCAGCCCTGGCCTGGAATTCTCTGTAAAATGAGTTGGGCTTGTACTCATAAAGGTCTTGCCTCTGCCTCCTGAGTGCTGGAATTAAAGACACGTACCATCATGCCTTGTTGCTGAATTTAGTGGGGTGCCCCATTTCAAGGAACACCTGCATAGACACATTTATTCCTATGTTTCACCAGCTCTCTGAGTACCATTTAGTCCAATAAATTAATCCATAGCAGTAACCAATGCACCTGTGTTATGGGTTGAAACCTGTTGATACCTTCAGATATCAGACCAGACATCTGAGATTATGGCCGTATAGAAATGGGATCGTACGAGAAATAATGGAGTCAAAATGAGGTCACGAGGGTCAGGCCCTAAGGGAGAAAGATAAAAATAGGAATGTAGGTATACACAGAGGGAAAATGATGTGTATAAACACAGGGAGACTGCCGTGTGAAAACAGGACTCAAGGGAAGACAGCCATGAGAAGCTAGTGGAAGGCAGCAGAAGAGCACCCCACAAGTTTCAGAAGAACTTGGCCCTACCAACATCTTGACTTTGGATTTCTTGCCTCCAAACCTGATGTGAGACAATTCTGTATTCTGCCAATTATGTTTTAAATAAACGCTGATTGGTCAGTAGCCAGGCAGGAAGCATAGGCGGAACAACCAGACAGAAAGTAGAGGTGGGTCAAAGAGAACAGGAGAATTCTGGGAAGGAGGAAGCCCATTCCTCCCCAGTCCTGTCCAGATACCGAAGAAGGAAGATGTGACCTGCCCTGCTGAAAAAGGTACCTTTTCTTTGGGGCTTACCTGCTGTGGAAACTGGGCAGGACAGAAACCCCAACCAGCAGGCCTTCGTGTTACACAAACCTGTACAGAGACAACAAATGTAAGTTGCTTTTTAAGACACCCTGTGTGTCGCTACAGCAATGGGTGAAGGCTTGACACACCTTTTCTAATGTGTGGTATACAACAAACATCTTCAGATATCCCTCTGTGAACATCCAGTGTCACCAGCAATTGCCTTCATACCAGACATGTCCACACCCCGTCTCTAATGGGCCCTGTGTATTAATCTTTTCAAAGCATATTATCAAGAACTTTCAAGCTTGTTTAAAAACAAAAGCAACTTCAACTTGTCAGCAAAAATGGAAAAGATGTTTCCCCCACATACTTTTACTTGACAAAATATTTACAATATTCCATTGTTGCTGTTTGACAGCTGCCCTGCCCCCACCTTAAAGCAGATACCAGGAAGAAATAATCAACTCTATGTTCTTTAAAGACAAGAACAAAGACAAGTGTGTCCCACGTATTGAAAGTTTCACGCACAGTTTTACATCAAACACAAAGTTGTTGCTCAACCAGACTGAAATCTCAAGGTCCAAATCAGGAGCAAAAGGAGAGAGAGCACGAGCAAGGAACCCAGGACTGCGAGGGGTGCACCCACACTCTGAGACAATGGGGTTGTTCTATCGGGAACTCACCAAGGCCAGCTGGCCTTGGTCTGAAAAAGCATGGGATAAAACTGGACTCGCTGAACATAGTGGACAATGAGGACTACTGAGAACTCAAGAACAATGGCAATGGGTTTTTGATCCTACTGCACGTACTGGCTTTGTGGGAGCCTAGGCTGTTTGGATGCTCACCTTACTAGACCTGGATGGAGGTGGGTGGTCCTTGGACTTCCCACAGGGCAGGGAACCCTGATTGATCTTTGGGCTGATGAGGGAGAGGGACTTGAAAGGGGAGGGGGAGGGAAATGGGAGGCGGTGGTGGGGAGGAGGCAGAAACCTTTAATAAATAAATAATAATTAAATAAATAATACGCAAATAAAAAAAAAGTTGTTGCTCAATATAATAAACCCTTCCCCCCAAAATCTATTCAGGATATTTTTAATTTTTGCACAATGGATAAAAATAATTACATTAAAAACATTAAAGGTTAAGTAAGGAATATAACCATTGAATACAAATATTTTGTTGGAGTGGGGCTGGAGAGGTGGCCCAGCTGTTAAGAGGACCATGGTTTGGTCCCCAGCACTGGCATGGTCACTGTAACATGGTTCCAGGGGACTTGATGCCTTCTTCTGGCCTCTGTAGGCACTACGCACCTGTGATGCACTTATATGCAGCTAAAGCATTCATCTGCATATCTGCATAAAGTAAAATATGTTAAGAAAATAATATTTTGGGGCTAGATAGATGGCTTAGGGGTTAAGAGCCCTTGTTGTTCTTGTAAAGAATGTGGGTTTGATTCCCAGCACCCACATGGTGGTCATAACCTTCTGTAACTCTAGTACCAGTCAATTCAGTACCCTTTTCTGACCTCTGAGGGTATGGACATGGTAGGCATGCACATTCAGGCAAAACAGTCATACAGAGAAAATACAAGTAAATACATCTTAAAATTTTTTTTTTTTTGGAAAGAAAAGAGACGTCATTGACATAGGGTATACTTTTGAAGTTCAGAGATAAGAATATTTTAGATAACTCATTTGCTTGAGCTAAGTTGTTTTGCCTGGCTTTTTATTTGTTGGTTTTTATTTTTTATTTTGAAAGCTCATTTGAGATGCTGGGGATTGAATTGAGCCGATGGCCTGGCACAGACTGAGCACATCCTCTATCCTGAGCACAGTCCTGCCTTTGACTGAGTGCTGTCTGTTCAACAACTAGGAGCGACTGTGTCATGAGTCTGTCTAGTTTTGAAATCCAAGCATGGTGGTGACACACGCCTTTAACTGCAGCACTTGGGAGGCTGAGGCAGGAGGATCTCTGAGTTTGAGGCCAGTCAGATCTACAGAGTGAGTTCCAGGACAGGCAGGGCTATACAGGGAAACCGTGTCTTGGAAAAAAAAAATCTTCCCCAACCCCTGCCCCACAAAACCCATACTGTTTTGTCTATCCACGTCAGGGTTTATTGTTCATATAGAACTGGAACTCCAGAGGCAGGCAGACCACAGCTGAAGTACTCCTGGAGGACATGGCCAAGGGTCCAGGCTTCCACGGTCCTGCTGCAGCATCTACAAAACATGGCTTCTGTTCCCATCATCACAAAATGGCCGTGGACCCTCCAGACCTTGGGTCTTCCTTCTAAGGAAAATCCCATCCTTAAAAAGTAGAAATTGAGCCAGGCAATGGAGGCGCATGCCTTGAATCCCAGCATTTGGGAGGCAGAGACAGGTGGATTCCTGTGAGTTCAAGGCCAGCCTGGTGGTCAATGGAGCGCATCCCAGGACAGGCTCCGAAGAAACCGTGTCTCAAAAACTTAGTAGAAATTGAACCAGGTGGTGGTACATGCCTTTAATCCAAAACACTCTGGAGGCAGAGGTAGGTGGATCTCTGTGAGTTCAAAGCCAGCCTGGATCAAACAGTCTTGACAAAGAAAATTAATTAAAATTAAATTTAATTCTCTAGCTCTACCAAGCAAGTTCTAGGACATCCAAGGCTACACATATATATTCATTTTTCGTGTGTATGTGCACGGGCATGCACATGCCTTGGTGTCCCTGTGGAGGTTGAAGCACAACCTGCAGGAGTTGGGTCCCTTATTCTACTTTGTGGGTCCCAGGGATCCAGCTAAGGTTCAGGCTTGGTAGACACATTTATCTGCTAAACCATCTCGATTTTCCTCTTTCAGTGGATTTTGTTAGACATTTTGTTGCAGCAACAAGACAAGTAATACAAATATCTAACAAACCTCTTTTTGTATCTGAATCCTGTCACTTCTGTTTTTTCCCCCGGAGAGTTCTGATTATATACCTGTTTGCCAAACACCATCTGAAGAGATTGGGAAAGTCTCTGAAACATTTTTTATTGATTTTTATTAAGCTCTACATTTTTCTCTGCTCCCCTCTCTACCCCTCCCCTCCCCTTCAACCCTCTCCCAAGGTCTCCATGCTCCCAATTTACTCAGGAGATCTTGTCTTTTTCTACTTCCCATGTAGATTAGATCTATGTAAGTCTCTCTTAGGGTCCTCATTGTTGTCTAGGTTCTCTGAGATTGTGATTTGTGGACTGGTTTTCTTTGCTTTATGTTTAAAAATCACTTATCAGTGAGTACATGTGATAATTATCTTTCTGGGTCTGACTTACCTCACTCAAAATGGTGTTTTCTAGATCCATCCATTTGCCTGCAAAATTCAAGATGTCATTATTTTTTTCTGCTGTGTAGTACTTCATTGTGTAAATGTACCACATTTTCCTTATCCATTCTTCGGTCAAGGGGCATTTAGGTTGTTTCCAGGTTCTGGCTATGACGAACAAAGCTGCTATGAACATAGTTGAGCACA